GAGAATTCATTGTTCGTAGCACCAAGAACATCCCAAAATGTGAGCTACGCATTCTTCTTCTTCTTCTTCTTCTTCTTCTTCTTCTTCTTCTTCTTCGTCTATATGTGCCGTATCCCTTCAAGACATAGAGGATCTTGTGTTCTCCATAACAGCCTATCATTTGTAGCTCTTGGTAAGGTTTGTATTTTTGCAACCCTCTTATAGATTCGTCAATGTTTCTTTCTCACGCTTTTGACCTCGATATGTACTTTGAGTGTCAAATTCTCCAAGCCTTCACTCCCCATAATGTATCCTTGCATTTTCATTCTGATTCGAAGTTCAAGCTTTCAAGTTTTTTGCTCATTATCCTTAACCCATCCCTCGTTACTCACAATCCCCCCTCAATTTTATTCTCAACGTCTTTCTCTATTGCATCAAATCCTTGCCATATAGGTGGCTAGGAAGACTGATCTCAAGTAACAGTTCAGCACTCTTTTCTTTTTTTTACTAACGAAATTTTCTTGTTTTTTAAAACTTTGCTTAGCTTTGAGAAGGCATCTTTCGCTATTTCAATTCACCTTCGGATTTCAGTGTCGCACTTTCCTCCTCTGTTAAAACATTTTACAGATATTTAAATTGTTGTGTTTGTTTGATTTTGGTATCTGCAATGTGTACATTCTATGTTGGATTGTCCCTTTTGCTGGCAACATGAATACTGTCTTCTTGCAAGTGATGTTTAGTCCTTTCTTCTCGCTTTTCTTAAATTCATTCTGTAGGAAACCTTATAGTTTCTATTCTATGTCTGCTATTTCAGTCGCCTCGTATCTCTTCTTTCTCTGTGAGGAGATTGACCAGCATTCACTGTCATATAGGAGAGTAAATATTACATTGCAGTCCAGCAAAATTTCTCTTTGTTTCTAACTGCATTTTCCTATCTCTTAATAATTGGCTTAGCGTATAAAAGGATTGTCTTGCATTCACTACCATATAAGACGACTAATTCACTGCCATATAAGACAACTAATTCACTGCTATATAAGACGACGAATTCACTGCCATATAAGACGACTAATATTATATAACAGTTCAGAACTCTTTTCTAATAAATATTTTCCTCTTTTGTAATCTTGCTTAGTTTTTGGATGGCGCATTTCACTATGCTAATAACCTTTCGGGTTTGGATGTCACACATTCTGCCTTCTTGACACGTCCCAGATTTTTTTAATTCTCGGATTTGCTTGATTTTGGCATCGAAATGGAGATGTCAAAATCATTTTGGATATGAATTAGAAATATCAAAACAAGCTTTTACAGAAATTTAAATATTTGGAAAGTATTTAACAAATGATGGATAATGTGACACCGAATTCTTTAGGCGCGGGATCTAATAAAGAAAGTTAAAATGTCATGTCCTATGTATCCTCCTGTATAGCAGTTAATGCTGGGTAATTTTCTCACAGATGAAGAAGAGACTTCAAAACGATAGAGATGTGGTTCTACAGAAGACATGGCTCATAAAAGACGAAAAAATACCCAATGTTAAAATCGTTGTTCAATCTTATATACTGCATCCCAAACGTTGTCATGTGAAAGTTATATTTTTTAATGATTATATTTTGTTCTTTAAGTCATGTTACGGGGTGTCAACTTGCTTTGTCGTCTGTTTGTTTCAATTGGGAATATTAAATTTTTGTGCAGAAAATAAATAGTTTGATTGATTGAAGTTAGAAGCGTCGTTCACTTCGTTTGAATTTTATCTCTCACCTTCCTCTCAAGAGAAAGCATTGAATCACATTACGTCGTGTCATTTTGCTTTGTTGTCTGTTTCTTTCACTTAGGAATCTGAATTAGAAAGTACTGACGAAAGGTAAATGGAATATGGTTGGTAAGAGAAAAAAAAAGAAACGTAAAATTGAAAAAAAAAAAGCAAAATATGGCCGTCATTTTAATTTGATCAGGGAGACATGTTCCCAGTTATCATTATATACTAATATTTGTTCTACTTGACACAAGGCTATGAGCTTATTTTAAATGGAATTGATTAAAGTATTATTGATCGACTCGGTTAGATTATTGGCTAATTGCACTCCTTATATGTTAGAAAGATAAAATAGATATATGGAGAGGTAGAAAAATATGAAGTGGGTGACAGTCTATCGAGGCTTGTATTGGGGGAAATTTAATAATAAAAAAAACGATCAATTCCAGATTTTTTACGGCTTATCAACCCTTTGTGGGTGATTTAAAGCCGAAACATATTTGGGATTGTAAAAATCATTTTTTTCTTGAGTGAATATTGCATTTATTTAAGAAAATAATGATTTTCAGTGCTACGGCCAAAATAAAGACACAAAAGAAATAAGGACACTGAATGAATATATATATATATATATATATATATATATATATATATATATATATATATATAGTATATAATTATTTATTTCGAAAATTTATAACATAAACATGTTATAAAATCACTACAAAAATAGCCATTTTGTTTCAACCCTCCCGGTGTTTTATCAAGTGATGATGCATTGTGGTGGGAATGTTCTTAAGTGATACTCCGAAATTGATTCTATCCATAGTATAAGAATAGAATAGACAGTGTTCGAAACAAATGGTTATTTTTGTAGTGATTTTTATAACATGTTAATGTTATAAATTTTCTAAATAATTAATTATATCAGCTCTACTTTGTATTGGGAACTCTTGTAAGAATAGTAATTATTGGTTATTGGAATTAATTCCGTATACAATTATATATATATATATATATATATATATATATATATATATATATATATATATATATATATATATTTTTTGAACATTTTTTTTGTTTATACGTTCTTTTATAGATGCAATTATTTAAGTAATTGCTCTGTTTATAATAATCAGTATTAACGACATTTACCCGTCTGAATGTTCGAGAAATTTTCACAGAAAATATTCGTCCCACAACAGGAATCGAACCTGTATCCTATACGGAACCGTCATATAGCCGGTAAATATCTTTAATACTGTTTATTTGTATCTATAAAAAAGAACGTATAAAATAAAAAATGTCTTAAAATAACTGTCGGACTAATAATATATATATATATATATATATTTATAATATATATATATATATATATTCATATATATATATATATATATATATATATATATATATATATATATATATATATATATATATATATATATATATATAGGTAGTATATCACCATTCAAGCATGTTACATTGAATAATATAGACATATGTTATATTAATTTTTTTCTAGTTTTCTCATTAGCTTCTTGATGTTATGTTGAAATTCATGAAGAAAGGTTAACCCAGGGACATTCAATCACCTCAAAGGTCATCGTCAGGGAAGAATTGTGACGACAAGCTATCGTTGTGATGGTGCTCGTTGTGATGGTGCTCGTTGTGATGGTGATCGTTGTGATGGTGATTTTTATAAACACACTGTTATAGTTATTTTTACATTTTAAATTTATCCATTGTAGTTTTAGTGTTTTTGTGCACGAGTCTAAAATTAAGGGAGTTAACAACAGATGGTAGAAATGCGAAATAGCATAAAATGTTGGTCAAATGCATTTTAAACCATTGCTACTACATTATTCAGTGTTGGTTAGATGCTTTTGATATAGAAACCCTCATGGATATGTAGTTTTTGTTTATTATCTTCGAGGTGTAGTAGATTTATATTGTAAATAAGTATTTTCCTGTATTGTGAAGGTGGACAGGAATGTCTTTTTAAATGTGGTACGATAGGACTTATGTCCGACAAATTTTGAAACATGGTAATTTCTGTGTAGCGATGAAACCATATTTTTAAATCAGTTATATATATATATATATATATATATATATATATATACCAGGTGTAACAACAAAATTGTCCAAATCGGGTCACATTTATTATATATATATATATATATATATATATATATATATATATATATATATATATGTACCAGGTGTAACAGCACATTATCCAGATCGGCTAACAGCATAATTGGCTATCCCATACGGTTGAGTTATTCAGCTAGAAAGAGAACAGGTTAAAATCGTTTTGTGTCATCTCCACTGTCTTCTCATATGAACAATGGCGTGAGGAAAATGGTCATTCAGATACCAAATGATACCAAAATTCATAGTCTGGCTTCCAGCTCCAAAGTTCATTCAAGAACCATCAAGGGAACAGTGAATAAGTTTAAAAAAGTGTGAACAGTGGAGAGGAATACTCGATCAGGAGGGATCATCTTTTCAACTTAGAGATAAAGAGATCAATTAGAAAAAAAATTCCAACTCAATTCATAAGACGTTTGGCAAGTGAGAGAGGAGTTTCAGCTATGACAGTCCAAAGAACAGTGAAAAATACTTGAAAATGAAATCGTATGTGAAAATTGTGATGCAGCTTATTACTCCAAGACAGAATGTTAGACGGTTAGAGAGAGCGAAGATCATCTTTAATAAGTTGCAAAAATGATCCTGGAATAATATATATATATATATGAAGCTAAAGCCCAATTACACTATATATATATATATATATATATATATATATATATATATATATATATATATATGTGTGTGTGTGTGTGTGTGTGTATGAACTTTCAATCCTTCATGATCTTCTGATCATTAGCTATGATTAATTAATGATGAACATGTCATTTTAGTTGATGATCATTTTCATTACGATTCTTCTGTTAAGCTTGGAGAGTAATTATGCATTCTTATTGCTCAATGTATAACCCAATACGGAGAATTCCAGTAAGATATCTTTAATCATTTCTAAGAAACAACAGTTGAAAGCTTAATCTAACAAATGGACAATTTTGCCTTTACACCGAGTATTTATTGTTTTTGATTAAAGTGAAATGAAAATCGTAAAAGACCTGATTTCCCAAAGGCCAGATAATGTCCGTTGATCTTGAGAAAGAGCGTTGCAATTAATGGTCAAATATTCAAACATCTCTTTTTAAGCAGATAAACACGCTATGAAAAT